GATATAAGGCTGAGCAATGAGGGTTACACGGATTAAGCGGTCTTCTGAAGTACGAATTACATTGCCTAACCAGCATAACTCGGAGTGTGACCCACTGATGCGCCTTAACATCACTTATCCGTTGTTCCTATCAAAACCATACAGTGATTCGGAGGTACCGACGGTCTTCCAGGGTCTGCACACAGTGACTGCGTCTAGGGTCGATAAAGTAAAACTGGTCGCACGGTAAAATCTAACTCTGACAGGCGAAGTGAGTTTGGCAAATGCTGCCCTAGCCCTCCCGAATCGAGACTGATTTCATGCCTCGCCAGTTCACTGAGAGCTATGAGTATAACTGGTGGCAGGTAGCAAGGATAACCATATGTAAACTCAATAGAGTCATGCGGCCTGCCTTTACTACAGTGTACTCATATACCGTTGGGATTGAAGTTGCGGAAAACCCGTTTTCATTAAAAAGGCCTGTGCATAATATGCCTCCATCGTTGACGTGCAACTGCAGCAACTGTGACCAAGGCCTATTTTCAGGCCGCACACGGAAGCCTGGACACTATCAGTCCGGCCTTGTCACTCGCATCCAGTCATGCCTGGCATGACCGTCTGACGGGCCTGTTCAAGTCACTCGGATTTTGCACCTTTCCTGTCGAAATGAAACGCAATTCTTGATAATCTACATTATTGGCATCAGTTATCCGATTTAATCCGAGTGTCGGTTGCAAAAAGCTCTATTTCTGCAACATATCAACTAATCGTAGTTTAAGTTAAAGTACGCTTGCGTATGTGAGCTTCGGTAACAGGTTCATCGAATGTTTCTGTAACTGAGTGAGCAGCTCGCATTCCGAAAACAGGTGCAAGATGTGCGCACACAAGAAGTTTTCACTCCTTTTCACGTCGACAGATGGCTATCAGGACAGCTCATGAATGCCTTTTTAAAAACTTTCAGGATAACTGAGTATAAATTGAGGAATCCAGATGTGACAAAGTCATGGAATCATACTGAACATATCATTTTGTTTACCATCCCAGAATTTACTTCAACCATATTTGCAGCTTGAATTCAGTGGTGGGGTTGACAATGAACGAGAGAATTCTGACGAATTGACAAACACACCTGCGTTTCTTTATCCCCTCCCTTCGGTTGGTGGACGCAGTGAGCAAGTAATCCATTCAAGGAGATCATTACACACCATAATCGTAGAGTCATTTATTTGCCGAATATTTATAGGTCTTTGTCGCCCCGTTCGCTTCAGCTGGCTAATGAAAGTCATAAAAGTCAACTTATTTTCAATGCTGCCCTCCGTCAGCTTTTCGCTGCCTCGCAGACAAGAGAAATACTTCCTTCATATGAATCACTGTTGACCGTTCCCTACTCTTGTTAGGTGACAATCACTTCATTGAGGTCAAGACTAATCTGTCCCATCTCCACAATAACTGAAGTTTCGTTATTATTGTCTCAGTCTGGACTTACTTCTATGTCTTGATGGTTTTCTCGATCGCTGTCGCCAAGTGAGCCAAATTCTGAAAGTGTTCACCCATGAATCGGATAAAATGCATTTCAGGCTTTTCCGGTCAGCTGTATATTCAAGCGGTACAACAAATCCTCATGAACCGTTTTCTATGTCTGTTGGTAGTGTGAAGAGATTTGAGAATTTTCAGTGGTGATTTCATCCTGTAAGGCTAATCTTAGGTGAAAAGTCGAGAAGCACAATTCAGATGTTTCGTCATTATTGAGAATTATCAAGTGTGCATCTCACGAAACTCAGGGAGCTTTGAAACTGCGACCTCGCGACCTGTATTTGAACACTTAACCATGAGCAACTGATTGGCAGTGTAGTTAACTCACACTTAGACAGAATGGCGCCACTCATCCTTTAATCACGGAATCCAAATAATGTGATCACGTGCTGGCTGGCTCCTCGAAGGTTTCCTATGTGGTCGATTACATATTTGAGCAAAATGTGTGATTTGCATTCGAAGAACCAGACAGACATGCAGTCTGCAGGACGGTGTGTCCACCGGGTGTTGGAAAGTTTTGGCTAAAATCGGTGAGATGGGTACTATCGGTATCCGCCTTTTTACATAACGACCTCCTCGTTTACATCAAACGAGAATCTCTTGGATAAGTTGTCCTCAAAGCACAATATGAATGTGTTTAAGTACAGGGAATGGGGTGTTCGGGCAACTTCCTTGAGATGTCCAAGGGAACTGTACTTGTCTATTACGAGTTGTGGGTTCTTCGGTCTTCATACTTTCGCAGAATAACAAAGTTACTCCATCTTCAGGAACTTTATACCCACAGACTGCCTGCTGCTCTCTTTCCAATATCTTACTGGGTAAAAATATCGTAACATGGTTTCCCCTGCATTAAAGATATGTTTATTGCCACAGTTGACCAACATCATTGAGGTGGCTTCGAGAAACTCATCAACCTTTTCATCGCGCTCTCGACATGTGAATAGAAATATCGATACTGACACAGGTAATGACCACAGTCACCTCATAGATCTCCAGATCCTGGCATCTTCCCAAGATACGAAACGTTATTCTAATGACGGAAAGTTTGTAGTTCGCCCTTGGGCCTTATTTTCGACTATGATGTGACGCGCCACTTTCGCTGCTCTGAAGCAGCTTCTTACGAGCTATGTGTTTCCGAGTGGTTTTGCGAAATACTTACAGATAACGAGCCACAGCTCCTGGATTTGACAACTGCTCCAAAATGCCTACCTTCTTGGCGACCGCCAGACTCTTCGTTATTGTACGGGATCATCCAACCCCCTCAGTAGAAACCAAAACACTGAACACCAAACTATTTCTGCTCAGTAAGCTGCAGTGACTTTTATTTAATGCACTTACAGCCTTTACACCTTCCCTCGACTGATCGACCAAACCACTCTAGTTACTGAATCTTTCTTACTTTTGGTCACGCAAATGGCCGTTGTTGAATCCGTCCAAGTTGTGGTCATTATAGTCATTATGACTATTGTCTTTCGCTGACAAGTTTGAGAATATTCTATCCTGAATATGAATTACACAAATATTCCGGTTTCTAATGGTAAACTTTGCACAAAATTTTAGTGCATCACTATCATCGACACTTGTTCGTGGTATTTTTGAACATTGAAGCATTGGTGGTCTGAGAAGAAATCGCCTCTGACATTGGTCATTTTATGGGGGCGGTTGCCCAACGGGTTAACCTGTGTTTAATGGCAAAGATCAAACACAATCAGGAAGAATCAGTCTCGGTTTTCCGTAAAAAAATATTCAAAGTTGACTTGATCTATAGACATACTTTCGGCACTTTGTGGACAACAGGGCTCAGTTAATGTGCACACCACGGATTGAATTAAGACCAGAGTACGCACAAGGCAAGGACTGGACAGGAAATCAGTAACACTCGGCGTGGGTAAGTTGCTTATTAAACCGAATAACCTAGAGTTCTCATTTCCGTTTCATCCCTCCTTTATTCACTTGTTAAGCCGCCTGCGATGACCAGACTGGTCACCGTGTTTTCGACGGATGTTTAGCCACAAAATTCGATCATGTCATCGGGGGGGGGGGTTGTTATTGAAATGAAATGTGGTGGAAACATGATTGTCCATCACCAAACCGGAAGAATTAGATCCTCACTTGGTATTTACTGCAGTTGCTAAGGCTTACAAAACTAATCGTTTAGTCATTGTCACCACGACAAGGTGACGGCTTTAGGTCGGAAATCGTCTAATGTTATCGAGGGATCATCGTAATTGCTTGGGAATTGGATGACAAAGAAGTAAGAACAACAAATTTATTAGTGTTGCCGTAAAAGGTATGTATGCAGTTCAGCCATTGGTGTGTAGAAAAAGGCAGGCTTCTTCTTGGCACGAAGATTTTTAAAAATAACTGAAGGTACACTCTACCAAGGTCACTTCAGTGGTCATCTGTAGCCTTGTCGAGTTAAACGCACACTTGGTTTATGACCATTGAAGCATACCATAGAGAGACCATCAGGTGTGAAGCAAGATTCCGAACATAAGTTACTGCGCGACTTCTCGTCGTATCACTCAAGGGGGGTACCTACCAATGACAAAATGTCCACAACCACTGTCGAAAGTGAAAGCCATTTATTGATTACCCGGGCAACTGACTTCGCTTAGTTAACCTGGCTAGCTCCATCGCTAAACTGAGTCCATAAAGCTTCCTTCAAAAAGTCGTAGACTGTCTACACTCCTAGTCCATTTAGTTAGCTTGCTCTGATGACGGTGCTTCCAGCTAATACTAGCTGTCATCCAGGGTCCTTACAACAAAACTCAGATGCCGATCAGATATGGTGATCGTCACGTTTGCTAGAGGGTTGAAAAATGTTCATTTGGTTGACCTCGTCTCGTAGAGTCCTATGGAGTGAAGGGAATAAAATTCAGTACTTCCTAACGGATAAAAAGACGCGCCAATCTGCGCAGGTCTTATTTCGTTGGTTATCTATAAGTGTAGGGGGAGCAAAGTATAATACGTGATTAGGGGTTTCTCGCTCACTTGTTGCCAGCCAGAAAGAATCCCAATGTAAAGTGAACTAGAAGCTTCTGATTCCGTTGCTTGTTCGGACGGTATTTACGAGGGAGGAGCACTGTGCTCAGGAGTCGGGCAGAGCGCCCTTTATCTGGTTGTGAAGAAAACTAGCACATCGCCTGCTAGAAAGTTTCATATCGGTTATTTACCTGGATAGTTCCGGTCATTTTCACCGGTCTACCTGAACCCAAAGGCATGTAAGACTCATAGTTTGTTTTACGGGCCACAGCCCACCACAAATAACTTTACAAACAATCCGCGTCGAAGGCCAATGGGAGGTAAAATGCTCCGATATTCTTGGAGTAGGGATAGCAAATCTGCGAGAAGACGATACCAATGTATGCACATGGAACTGAAGAGCAACATCTAAAGTCAAGGATTCGGGCAGTTCCAACAGAGGAGGGCGAGAGTCCTGATGACAAAGACCATCCAGCTTAATCGATCAGGAACAAGACAAGACAAATGTAAAATGAAGTGTTGTATGTACAGAAGAAAGTGCAAGAAAGACAGTGCAACACTATTGAATATACTTCTTCATAAACTTCTTGTGAAACTCTGAACGGAGGGTGTCATTTATGAAGCCGCGTTTGGTATGATCAACTTCACCTCGAGCGCAGTTTTTGAACACAACATCATCATCCCAGCGACGTTTGACCTTAAATTCTAAAAAAAACGACAAGGATGAGGCAAGTGTAAGCGCTGTGAATACATTTAACCTATCGGCACGCAGGTGCATTGAATAGCCAAACTCGCTCGAAAAGGGATCGACCGCTGATCGCTAAACATTTCTGAAGTCTGAGCTACTTATGAGTAGCTCAGAGCTGTTGTTGCCAGTTAGGTAGCTGATCCAGTCAAGTGCCCAAATTTCGTGAATTCGGTGCAAACCCGTCCAAGTTAAAGAGTGTTAGAGTTAATTGGATAGTCTAGTTTCTCAGTTTTCATTGGCCACGTTGAGTAGCCAGTGTCAAAATACGGTCCGATCTACTGAATCTGCACATTTTGTTGCTGATTTTATGCAAATGCATCCGACTAAACCAAAAGCTTAATTTTCCGTTCTTTTGCGTATGGCAGATTAATGTTTTTAATCAAAGCACTTCAAGTATTGTGCCGAAAGGCCTAAATGAACAATTTTATCCAGGCTAGGATCCATAACCACTTAAAATGACGACGTGGCAGAGACGAAGTGGTGACGACCCGGTGGAGGCGACTTGGTGAGGCTGACTCTGACGTAATGCCGTTCCTAAACATTGTCAGTATGGTGTAACTTGTGAAAAAACGGCAAGGATGAAAATGCCTAGCCATGAGCTCTATCTCACTTGATCGGAGAGGAGATGAGATTATCTTGTGGCGTATTGCATACTGTTTATATCCCAAACACCTCCGTTGTTTTTATGGTTCATATTCGAGTACCGCAGGTTAGCACGTAACACACTCATTCGCAATGACCTACACAGGGAGACGTGCAGTCAGTTGGTGGACTTTGGTACTTATCTTCGGCGATATATCAAAACCCAACTATACTGTGATAGAAGCGCCAAAAAAGATAATCAACAAAACCGCAGACCATCGAGTCTTCTCAAGAAACATAAACGTTTACGTGAATCGCTGCTCTCAAGAGGGTGCGTCTCCATCATCCTAATATTGTGGTAACCACAAGATATTTCCTCTCTAGGAAGAGGGATGTTATGATAGAGCACGTTTTATGCACTCACTCCGATTGTTTTGAATACGCATTCACGGAATAACGACAATTACATACCTGATGGACCACTTGCATTCAACAGAGGATTGCCTCGTAAGATGTTCTCCATGCGAATTGTCTCCTCAGCGGCTTTACGCTCGACAGCTAACCTAGCGGCCTCTTCAGCACGCTCACGTTTAATTTTAGCTAATTCAGCGAGTAGGAGTTCTTCATCTTCATCATCATCCTCGTCGTCGTCCTCGTCATCATGCGCTGTATCATCTTGAGCGTCGGTACCGTTGACCTGAGTATCGTTGGCATCTTCCCCGTAATCCTCATCCCATGGATCATCGGCATCGAGGTTAGCAGTGGAGACAGCTGCTATGGTTTCAGGTTTAGGCCGTTTGATAGCACTACCGGCCGTAGCTGAGGCTGAATCAACTGCCGTGCTAGTTCGTTTTTCGCCCGGTGCAGGGGCTGTTATCGAAGCGGTAGCGGAAGCTAGCACAGAAATCAAAAGATTAAGAAAACATCAACCGAAAGAAGGCAAACTAGTGTCAAGACATTTTGCCAAAGGTAAGTTGTTCGAGTACGGAATACAGACACCCCAGTATAGGCTATGCGATGTCTAAAATAAGCAAAGCAGAACATATATCTGAGCCCGAAAAAAAGTACGATTAGAGAGTTTTTAATGATTTCGCATAGGTCGTATTTGTTAAGTCCGTGATGGGGTGGGAAGCAGGTCTAGTGAAAAACAAACATGAGATACTAAGGTCTGTTGGAGGGAAACAGCGAGACAGTAAGCCGGATCGCGTGAACTTACTTCAATCTAGGTGGCCCCAAAAGAGCAAACTGTATCAGGCTGACACAACTGACCTACTGTTGATGGTTATTGGACAGATGAGCTGTGAAATCTTCACACAAGAGTTCCGTATTTCAAGTGAACACAAAGTCACTACACAGAACCGTACAGATCTCGCCACAGATTATAGTGATCACAACTCCTCTAAACGAGGCGGCAAACCAAAGGTGGCAATAACGCGGTAAGGACCCCACCCCAACACAAATGGCCGTTAGAGAGAGCAAGGACGACGAAACTCCTGGTATTAAACCTGCCAATCTACTGCGCAGAGGTACCAACAGTACTTGAGATGACGCGATAAGTGTCCAGACGCCCAAGAGACCCACCTGTTGTTTCGAAAATCAAGAGCGTCGGTAACGAGAGAAGCGCACGTTGCAGTTAAATAAATTCACATTTTAACCGATACACATTTATGATATGATTGAGTTGCACTCTCAGTGAAGAAAAACTGTATAGTCCCTGTCCCAGATGCTATAAGGTGCACGAATATCGTGGGTACAGACCAAGNCCCAAAGAGACCCCCCTTGTGTTTCGAAAATCAAGAGCGTCTGTAACGAGAGAAGCGCACGTTGCAGTTAAATAAATTCACATTTTAACCGATACACATTTATGATATGATTGAGTTGCACTCTCAGTGAAGAAAAACTGTATAGTCCCTGTCCCAGATGCTATAAGGTGCACGAATATCGTGGGTACAGACCAAGTCATGCACCAGACGAAAAACTGAGCTTTACTAACGGAACTCGTCTATCAACCATGGTCCGTATTTATTCTCTGGCGAAGGGATAACGTTCTAATACGACCAGAAGACAGTAAAATGTGTCCCGCGAAGCAAATTAACCTCTGACCAAAAGAGAGTACAATCCTTTCAGTGTAAAACAGAGGCATATGCCAACATCCGTAGTATATACTATTCGCCGGAGATACTTACATAACAATTAAAATTAGTGCATACATAGAGGCTGGCGCCATAGTGCTTTGAAACTACATTTGGTTAGACGCTCTCTTAGTCAGAGACTTCTGCCAGCTTATCAGCTTCAGCGTATTTTTTTCTTCAAATCATGATCTACCGAATGAACCAAAGATAGCCCCTAATTTGATTCAATCAAGTGACTGTGGTCCTCCTCGTTGTGCAGTGTGACCGAGTGGGATGGTAAGGCTTTGCAGATCCATCCCAACTGTAAGTTACCGTGCTATACGGTCCACGGGTGAAGTGCTGATGCATTGCTACCTGAGGTGGACCGATCTGTTCAAACGTATAACGAGTGCGCTGTTATCTAAAACCACGCACTGAGTGGTAAGATGGGATTGACAGTAGGATTTTCGTGGAGAGGTAAAAAACGCACCACTGGAGATCAAGTCAAATTCCACCGCCAGAACGGAACCGACCCTACCACAAGTAAGCTGGTAGCATGTGTGATGATGATAATGTACACTTTAGTGCAAGAGTACAGTCGGTTAGGAAGAGCACAAAAGCAATGCTGGCTTGAACTATGATTCTAGGCAGTCTGACTGAACACAATACAGAAGCGAATACAGTTATGTAGGCACACCAAAAGTAATCCGAAAATGTGATACTGTTTGAGTTTTGCTCAGGTTAACACTAAGATCCCGTGCTGCAGGGATTCATGATAACTTGGGTAAAAGATAGTCTATTACATATGGGTAGTTATAAGTGTGGTTTGATTCGAGATGTCATGTGATCGTCCAATCTCTAAAAGATATTGAGGAAGGAACTCCAGCAAAGCAGGCCTCTGAATATTTCAGCACCAGTAAAACACTGGCTTCCAGTACGATGAAGAGGGGGACATAATATTTCGAAAGACATGTAACGAAGGGGAGCACGAAGACGATGATACCGCACCACTGCAGGTAGATTGACTTGCTTTATAGACAGTGTTGAATAGCATGTTTGAAAGCAGCCAAGGGTCGGGTGTCCCTTCAGAAGATAAGCCAGATGAAATCAGCCCACGTCACTGCTATCGTATAGTTTACGCTGGTTATGAATAGCTCAGACGGTTTAGGATGAGAAGAAATATAGTTTCACGTGTTTGTTGCGATGTATCTGGAAAGAGCAGTTGAAGTGGTGACAGACCATCACCAGCTAACTCACATGGTACATTTGCTATGAAAACAGCCTTTCTTGGAAACAGAAAACAAGCGTAGCTCCTCAGACGCCTTCCTTAGGATAACTACTTTCGGTTATTTCCAATTGTGGAACGAAAATCTCACAATTAGCGACAGTTTTGGCATTTTTTGTCAGTATTTTTGAGGTAAGGAATACCGTAGGTTTGATATTTAAAAAAAAAACAGACAAGAGAGGAAACCGAATTTTAAAAAAACCATAAAACGGTAAACGAGTACCCTTCAAAGCCTTGAGACTTCCTAAGTTGGGGGTTGGAATCACAAATATACGAAAAGTAAAAAATAACGGAAATGACCATCCGTAATCCGCGATACAGACTTGACATCCCCAGCCAAAACCATCAACTGCATGGCTCTGTGTAAATGTTTATTCAGAGATAGAGAAGTAATATCACAATATGGGAGCGACGTTTACTCAAAGGTAAACCATAATATAAAACAAACCTTTCCCGGTCTTTTCCAGAGCCAGCCGTTTTTCCTTCTCTTCAAGCATCCTTTTGAAGTCTTTTCCCTGAAGGTCCTCTGGGCGACCTTGACCTTCCTGTCGAACTTTGAGTTTTGTATGAGATGGTAGATCTCGGACAGAATACTGCTTTGACATGGCACTTAGATCCCCTTCCCATTTACCCCGTCCACCTTTCGCTGAATCCCATGTTGGACGACCAGCAGTTGTCATTTCTTACTGGGTATGAAATAAGCTGAAAAAGGCAAAGAATGATATGATAACCTTGCCCACAGTACACCAATGATCCGCTAAAATACCTTGAAATCAGATAACCACTTCAGTTAAGTTTCGATTTCCGTTTTTTCCAACTTACTTCTGCCGGGTAGCTCGCGAAAACCATTTATGCTCAATTGCGAACGAAGTTAAATTATTCAACTTGGTTAGACTAACTTCACACTTCAAATCTGAGAACCGACCAATATAGAATTTCGGGCCGAATGAAACATGAAGTGGATTTTGCGGAGCATATTCAGTTAAGGAAAATTGTGAACGGGAGATTCCAGTAATTCTCTGACTGATACTAATGTAATTTGCAATTGGTTGTATTTTCCCGACATGTTGTTCAAGCATAACGGTAGGTTGATGGGAACTCGAGGGCTGCAACCTCTTCGCGAGCCCTTACCAGAGTTTTCATCGGATTCACGAGTAGAGTTTTACATTCAAAGAATCAGAGCACAGAGTGCATCAAAGCTCTTTAAGTAATGCTGGTGAAAGCGCATCTAGCCGGATAGCCCGATGGCGTTAGGAAGTAGGGCATATCAGTACTTCAAATGAAGTGGAAGCTGGAGCGAGTCGGATGAAGAGCACAGATATAGACGCCTATAGTAGACTGAATTGTGACAGAATATATTCTGCCCAGATTCAGACGCTGGTTTTTATTATATATTCCACTTCCAACATCATCTTTGATAAGTTCTTTGCGGAGTGGGTGAAACCTTGTCTGTACACTCCATGCTGCACTAGGCTCTTTCATTTATGGGCATTTCTGGTTCCACCATGTCTTCCTGTCCACACACGGGCTCCGTCTGAGTTACCACCGCTATCACTATGCCGTAAACTAAACTTGTCAGCAAACAGCGCCTTGCATGAATCGAAGCGATCAACCTGTTACGGAAGTCTACTGCAAATAGGACTACACATGATCCCTCCGTAGTGGATAAGAAGCTGGTTACTTCTAGATAATATGCCTCTTACAGAATCAGTGAAACAGTAGGTTGGCGCACAGGCAAAAATTATAGCAGTTCGACCGATCCGTCTTTCTTGAAGTAGACAGATGGACGATACAGAGGTAACTATTTGCAGGCATCCAATCAAGCGAGGAAGTCTCAGACCGGAAGCTACGAGCTATACCAACATCGGCGCAACCAGCTAAGACAGCTGAAGTTTGTGGTAGATAGTGTCCAGGCAGTGCTGCCGTAAGCTTAACGATTGTATTTGGATCTTGTGTAACGGTTTCAGAAATGCAGCAAAAGTATGTCCGTGGTGTCAAAAGCCCGCACAAGAGTAGCCAGTTAGCCAGTTTGTTTAAGCATCCAGACATTGAGGACGGCAACAAAAACGGGGAACGGGATCGAATCAGTGGGGGTTGTGCAGATGTGAGAAGTAGCGCACCAATAGTCGTTACCTTCGATGTCTGACTGACGTGTCTAAAGGTAGACTCTACGGAAGAGTGATCATCAAGGGGGGCGGCACCGGAAGTAACAGAGAATAAAGAAAGATCAGAGATTTCAGCAGTCATGTTTTCACGGATCGGCTCCGATGGATGTGGCTATCAGTTACCAACAGAGAGCTTCAATTAAATATTGCCGTTCCTCCTGGGGTACGTAACTTCACTCTTATCATGCCATTTTAAGGGATCGATGATCACATTGCTTTCTGTCAGCACAACGCGTGCCGAAACAGGACAACTCTATTCATCAACTTCAAAGTTTCAGTAGCTGAACAATATCTAGCTGATCCGGTTGGGAAGCAACTGGAAACACGGTCATACTGATGACGAAAATTGACTGGGGGTTGAATTGAAGTGAGTTCAAGAGGCCATGCTCTCAGCCATCCCACTCGACCAAATAAACACTGGATATTGTCAAAATCAGAAAGTCTGACTGCGGCCAGAAAGGCCATACCAGTAAACAGAGACTGAGATGGCGCACACAGATCCCCCAAACACCAGACAGTCAAAAGTTTGTAAAATGACAGGACAGTGGTAGATTTCGAAGTTGGGGGCAACAGCCTCTCCTTCTCTTTGAACCGGTCAAAAGAAAAGGGCCAATGAGAACGTGAGTGTTGTTGTTGCGACTCGCCTTCCAGGATGGAAATCGCGTGATCCACACTGCGTCTGGTTGGCGATGTTGCAAGATTTGGCTGCCAACCGATGTCAGTGGCGTTCTTGCTGTCAGTTTCTGTCCAGATTACCTGAGTGAATGTCTGGAGGTGTAGGCACCTCGGAATGATTGTATTAAGCTAGCACTAAGTCCCTCCCCCATCCACCTTTATTCTTTTCTTTACAATAAGGCTTTCAAATAAGTCATGGTTGTACGGCAGTGAAGCATCGGTGTTGAACACTGATGTCATCCTGTCGATGATGATGATGATGATGAATGAGACGATGTGCGAAAAAGACGGACCGGCAACTCGCCTACAAAGTCATCGTCTTCAGCGATCGTCTGACCACTTCAAAGAACAGTTCAACTGGTTTCCCGCAGCACACCCACTTGTCTAAATTGGGCACTGACAACAGCACCCCCCCCCGTAGACAACAGACATCCAACGTGAGATATCAATTCTTCAACAAGACATTTGGTCTGGATGGTCTGAATCCCGCACTCTTCAAACAAGGTGGCGAGGTACTGGTTAACGGCCTCATGACCATTCTTTGGAAGAATTGGAAGGGAAATAGTATATCGGTAGACTGGAGCCACTCGACCGTTATGCCAGTCTTTGAAAGGGCCACAGAACGTCGCATGAAAGCCTGGTAGCCGTCGCATCTAAGGTGCTTGCTGGTATCATTTTGTGCCGGCTGACTGATCATTAGGATATACAAGCTCATGAGAATCAATCTGGGTTTGGCCCTGGCCGAGATTGCATCGATCATACCTTCACCTTGAGGCAAGTTCCTGAACAGTATCACTTTCGCAAAGGTCCCAAGTTCGTCGTATTTCTTGATATGGAAACTGTGTTTGACTCGATCAACCGACATACATTCTGATGGTACCTGGCGACCAAGGGGCTCTTCCAAACTTATAAACCTTATGAGGGCACTGCATTCGAACTCCTGCGGGCACGTATACAACAAGCTGTCACCTGAGTCCACCAGGTCGTGGTGTAAGACAAGATTGCCCTCATCATTTCTCTTCAACCTTGTTAGTAATGCGCTGCATGAAATTCATTTACCTGCCCATGAAACCTCGGGGATCGAAATGCTTCCGGCATTTTGCTCGCAGACAGTATGTGGACGATATTGCTCTCTTTGTTCGGATCCCTCAAAGACGCAAACCACTTAAAATAGTCCAAATAATTCTGCCACAGTTTGCTGTCGCTCCACACCTGCGAAGTGTAAAGTGCTGCTAGAGTACTGGACGGGATTGCCTGTAGATAAGCTCATCGAAGTGGAAGACAAATTTGTTTACCTGGGTATTGTAAAAGTTCCGCTAGATAGATTAGAGACGAGGTTACTTCTCGAAAGGTCAGGGTAGATTTTGCCAACACCCGACCCCCATGGCACAGGCATGACGTCAGTTTACCTGTCAAGAGCAAAGCATACACCGCAACGGTGTTATGCATGCCGCTTCATGGATCTCGAAAGTAGCCTCCATGTCCACATTAAGCATGAAATCTGTCAGTGTCTGACCACTGGTGTCTCCGAATTATTGACCGAGTCTAGTGGGAACACCGAATTAATAAACCTGTAGTACACCAGATAGTCCTAGGAGAGAGGGACTCTCCCAGGTTGGGTGGTTTACTCACGTTTCATCCATCATCATCATCATCATTATCAGCTGTAATGACCGCGTACTGGTCGTACACTGGTTGTAGCTGCCGCAGTTTCGTTCACCGATGATTGGTGGGTAAGTAGCTGCGCATTGCACGCGCGAGCTGGTAAATTGGTGCATAAATCCAGCACT